AACCATCTCCCTCTACCTATACTACCCAGACCAACTCCTCAGTTTTTTCGCAACCCCCTTTTCAACCCATCCAATCCACTCATCCACCCCATCCCTTTCCACTCCTTCTTACGCTTCCCAAGTAACCCCAACCTATTCTCCATTTCATTCCGACAAATCACATAATAACTCCTCAGATACCATCCAAATTTCCGCAGAACTCGACAATTTCTTTACATTGCAACAACAACTAATACATCCACAAACTCTCACAATACATCAACTATCATCCACAATAACATCCTCAAATCCACCAACTCCTACACCCTCTTCAGCTTACACTCCTTCATTAGCTCAGTCATCCACATCCACTGAAACATCTACCAGTACTAACCGAGCTTTTAAACAAAAATTCCCAAATCACCCATTCCCAACCAAACCCGGAACAGCCCGAGAATACATCAACCACCCAAAACACACAAATACGAAAAATTTTCTTTTCATTACCCTACCATCATTTCCGCAGTATACACTAATTACTTTTACCATTACTAACGATACACGCAATTTTGTTGATGAGCACGTTTTAATGCCAACACTCCATTGGACAGCTTATTATGATTATACTAACCCCCTCTGCCTACCATTAGCTAATACTACTGAAAGTATCGAGAAAAATAAAAACATGTTATATATACTAACCACAACTCTAACACCTCGACAATTTACTTACGTTCGATATAAAAAAATATTAAAAACATTCACCGCACCCTGAGCTAACGATTTTGCAATAGAACATTACGATTATAATATCATCCGCCCTATCATGTTACGCACTAAACAAACGCACACATATACATATTATCGTTTTATACAAAATCATTTTGATTTGCACACCCCATCAAGACAACCTCACCATCGTTTTCAGTTTCTTAACTCAAAATACACGTCACAATTTTTTCTAAATTTTACATATTGCATTAAAGATACTAACCTACACGGCATTCTCCGCAACTATGACCAATTACCCAAATGTATATATTCTGTCCCATCACAAAGACCTTCAATACCGAAGATTCAAGACCATTCCTTATCCCGCATGAATTTATCACACCTATTGAAATACCTATATTTAGTATTCATTCACAATAGTAAATATAACCATAAAATATATAACCTCATCCAAAACACACCTTACGAGTTCGCAGTAGGCACAGAAGAACTAAACACCATCAGGGCACTTCAATTGCTTTGGCCATTGCTACAAACTAAAAACATCATACGCATACTAGCCAAGTTACTAACAACATCAGACATGATTCACGACATCTTCCCCCACGGCTTTTTCCCAGAAGACTACGGTAACTATAAATTAAAATACTTTTAACTAATAAATTCAAATGTATACTAACCATTTTTTATCAATGTTTGATTTATTCTTTTAGTCTTCACATCACTATCATCTAAAAAACAGAAAAAGAAAAAGAAAAATACAAACTTGTTAAATTATATTCAAACTCCTTAATCCCTAGCACTAAATACTGTAGTAAAATTCATACCCGTTGTAGTAATTTCATTTATAAATTATTTTCCTCGATGCAGTAAAATAAATACGATGAAAATTTATAATTTTAAACTTCCCCAAAAAGCAATAAAATTCAAATTCAATGCAATAAATTCATAAAATTAGAAAGCAGTACTAACCTTTTCAATATTTTCATTCATTCGCACAAGAATTTTATCCAAACTCGCACAGCTCGCCCACGAAGAATTGTTTAAATAATGATTTTAAGTTTCAAGCTTTCACTATAAACAACTCTAACACACGATAACATGTTTCAAACTTTCCTTTAACCCGGTTGGAAAGGAATTATATAAAAAAACCAAACTAACCAACGCAGCTTACTAAACACCACAAATCATAAAATAACAGCATGACTAAGAAAAGAAAACCAACGGTACCCAAACCGGATTAACCCAGCTTAAAACTGGATAATTTATTCTTTTGAAGACTATTATAAAGTCTAAGAAAGAAATAATAAAACACAAAAAAGTCGCAAGACAAACCCATACCAAAAACAATTTGATTTTTGAAAAAAGGACACAACCAAAGTAACATAAGAAAGACCAACATAAAACCAACATAAAACGTTATCACAAAAAACAGGACCTCTCAAAGAAACAGCATGAAATCATACTCCCACTCCTGGCCTAACCCACCAGAGAAGGACGTCCTGAGCATGCTCTATAGCCGGCCTAACCCACCGCGCTACATCCACGCTTTGTGACCACACTTCTATTTTTAATAAGAGGTACTCAAGGGTGAGTAACTTCCAAATAACTGAACTGAAACAAAATGCTTTTGTGAAAACGACTAACTAAATTCATGATTAAGAAACCAAATTAACATAAATTTATAAAATGTAAATCATACTTTGCAGTATATAGATCATACACAACAACAAAGACGAACATCCAAGACTAGATGATCCCATCACACTCGAACAAAAGAATGGCTAAAATTAACTGACATGCCATCCACAATCACGACTCAAAGGATTTAGAGTACGACTTGACTTCGCAGAAAAGGACTTCATTGAACTAGACCAATGACCACCTCAATGCTCAAGTATACGTACAGGTCCGAGTTACAAGGCATCCCTTCCAAACACGATCTTCACGCCATTCCCAGACAAGGCTGTACACAAAACAGTTCTCTACTAATACAGAAAAACCTGACATAGCAAACCGTTTTGAAATCGGATTGATTTCATTGGGGATCACAGTCGTTGTCGAATGACAAAATAATAACTTCCTATTTCTGATTCCAGCGTCCTGGAACGTTCTTTTTCAAGAGGACCCGGATAAGTAAATGATGTTCGCCAAATATCAACGTTCATCATCCATCCTTCAAACTGCAGAGAAGAAAGATAGTTCTAAAAAACTCTGTAAACCCCGGATGGGTGGAACCTGATCTAAACTACATTTTTTTATTGGATAAATTAGATATTTTACCACTGTAAAATATTTAATTTTAACCAATCATAATCCATCCAACTAACAACCCACTTTTTTGTAAGTGCTGAAATTACTTGTAATTTCAGCACCAGAGAGATTTGAATTTAACTTAGAAATTAGTTGCCTCTCCAAGAGAACTTCAGCTGCCCCAATAAGCCAGTATACTCTAGATCTATTGAGCCTAGCAGAGACTAGTTAAACACCCTGAGACTAGTAGATATAAGAGTAAAATTAGGGTCGGTATTAGACTAAGAAGTTGCACGAATCTATCCGGCCGAAAATAAGATAGCGTGACGAGCAGACGGTGTACCCTATCCGAAATTACTCTATGAGTTAACCTAAAGGACCTAACTCACAGGGTAGCACGCACGAATCGTTTTTTTAGTCTTCGGTAAACGTTTGTTCGACTTCCTGCAAACGTTGCACAAAGTTATCCTTCAAAAGCGACTTTCAAGAAAAATCACCTGAAGATGCGCTTAGTTTTGTTCACAAGTGCTTTCTTGCAAACGTGACAACAATTGGTCACTTTCTTTTTGCACGATATCAAAAAAAACGTATTTCAAACTATTCCAACTCTAGTTGTTTCTCACTAAAATGCTTGTTACGAGGATGATTTCTGAGAAAATAAAATCAAATTTTCAGTGTTGGGTACTGAAGTTTTATCATTTTATCAAGGTTTCCTCTGATTGTTCCCTATTGGTTTATGTAAAACTTTTGCTTAAATTAATGTTGTCCGAAATCATCCTTGAAAACAAGCATTTTAGAGCAGAAAAACCTTGAAAGTGGCCCTAATTTTGACCATTATTGTAGTAACTATATAAAATCAAGGTCCTAAAGTTCATACACTAGTGGTCAAAGTTAAACGCAAATTCACCAAATTACTTCTGAATTTCTTAGTTTCAAAGACAATTTTGACAATACTTTATTGGAATTTCATCAAAAATTTACTTCAATCGACTGCAAATGATCAGAGTTACCATCCTTGAGGGGCTCAATTTTTTTATTTGAACACCTTGTGACTTTTTCTGTGTCTGAAACTGCCAGCTTTTGCCATTTTTAATAAGTTTTTTGGAAGGTGTGAAATTATAAGAAACAAATGAATTGAGGAAAGCTGTCAAACTGAACAACGCAAGTTTCTTGTTTAATTTATTTCGCCCCGCATGATCAAGTTTGTCTGCTCCGCTTCTTCGAAAAAGTCTTCAGTACCATAGAAGATTACGTCTCAAATGGCATAATTTCCAAATGCCATAAAAATGAAAAATTTCCCAAATGGCATAAATTACATGCAACTGTTGCATTGAAAAAATCGAGATTAATTTTTTCGTGAAAAATGTGGGAAAAAAATTCAAATTGTCAATCCAAATGTTGATTGACATTTTATCTTCACAAAAGTTGTAGAAATTTTTTCATCAAAAGAAAGAAGCATTAGCTTGCGGTTATTAATAAGCTTCTTGTGGTGAACTTTTTTGACAATTTGTTGCGTAAATTTGTTTGGAAGCAATTAATTCCAAATCTTGTATCTTGTTCACATGCTTTCGTTCCTGACAAAATGTTAGAATTAGAAATAGATAGAAAATGTTTAAATTACAATGAAAACTTGAAATTTATGCCATTTGGGAAAAGTTTCCATCTTTATGCCATTTGGGAATTATGCCATTTGGGAAGTTACCCCATAGAAAACGCATTAAAAATTGTCAAAACTGGCATTTTCCAACCTGGAAAAAACTGATAAGTGCTATAAATAAAAAAAATGAGACTTTCAGAGAGGATAGTTCAGATAGTTTGCAATTGGAAAATATAAATAATGGAATAAAATACCATAAAAACTGTGTCCAAAATGGTCCTTAAAACGAAGCTTTTTAGAGCGAAAAAACCTGATTATGGGTTCAATATTGTCCACTAGTGTATCTTTTTTTGTCTTGCTCTCTCGTTTTGAATTTTTGTTGCGTTATTTTTTCTCCAGTGTGTTTTTGAAGTTGTAATGACATTGACTTCTAACTCACTTTTTGCTTTCAGTGAGAAGTTGCTTTAAATTAAGTGATCAACGAGTTATCTGAAGTATTTTGAGCTGACTTTTTGAGGAATTATATCATCATTTATAGTTATGACCTACATTTACTTTAAGTCAATCAATAACAACACTTATTTAGAACGTTGTATTGGTAATATGAAAAGATAAATTTCGCAATACATTTGAGAAAATTAACGCCCTTGAACGAGAAGAAATTTTTGAAAAGTAAGAGAAGGCTTCTATTGATAGAGCTTGATGGTAACAGATTTTAGTTTAACAACTAACAGCCGGTTGCTGAATTTTATACAAAATAGAAAAAGCTATTTTGTTAAAACTACAAGAGATTCTCCAGATTCTTGCATTCTCGTAAAAAACTTGTATCTTTCGTATGTTACACATTTTACCTTTTGAAATGAGACTTCTGCCAACTCTGTTATTTCTCTGAACGTCATTTTCGATATTTCTGCGTGCGGATTCTTTTGTAGGAATCTCTTCTTTCCCTCTGTGCCCAAAGATAGAAATAATCGTGACACCAGTTTCTTTTGTACTTCGTTGTAGAAGACATTGTGTCCGACTCGTGGGCCTCTTGTTTTTCTTTCTTCGTTCTCCAATACTACTCTGTCGCTTGCTAATTTATCTCTAAGAATCCTAGCGTTTCTCGCATCTTCGTTCTCCCCTTCCCTGGGCGTTTCCGGGCGTGGTGGTGGTTAATCTAATATATCTTTTGGTTCTTCCAAAATAATCTCTGGGTTCACATTTTCTTTGACCGTAACCGCCATGAGAAATTGTTCGAACCAAATTTTGAATTGCCACGGAGGGTCTAGATTCGCTGATGCCCAAAATACCGGAATTCCCATATCCGTTCTGTTGTCTTGAGCTGCGAATCCTGCTGGCTGCGCCATGTGATATGCGTTGCGATATCAATTGAAAACAAGTTGTAATTCAATACTGTATTCTGAATATTGAATTTAGATTTTCTCTTTCCTTGGTTTCTTATGTACTGAGAGATAGATCATTGTTAAGTACTCTGATCTCTCGCTTAATCTCAGTGTCAACACTTACGTATGACCTTGAGAATACCATAAAATAATGATTGAGCACCAGAGGTTAGATGTACATACGTATAATAAATACTGCTACTGCAGTAGCGGTATGACAGCTTTTGATCTAAATTTTGGAAGCTTGCTTCCCCTTCCCTCACACTATTGAATTATGTATAGGTTACTACACTCATAGAGTAATTTCAGATAAGGTGCACCGTCTGATCGTCACGCTATTTTATTTTCGGCCGGATAGATTCGTGCAACTTCTTAGTCTAATACCAATCTTAATCTTACTCTTATATCTCCTAGTCTCAATAGATCTTGTGTACACCGGTTTGCGCGAGTTAGTTCCAGAATGAGAACAACTGTATTCTAAGTTTAATTCAAACTGTTCTGGTGTTGAAACAAAAAAAATGTTTCAACACTTTACAAATAAGGAGTATGATTGGTTAGTTTTTAATATTTTATAGAGATAAAATATCATTATAATAACCAATAGTATAAATCAAGTTTAGATCTGGTTCCACCCATCCGGGGTTTAGAGAGTTTTAGTTTTTGATTCCTTTTCCTTCATCTGCGGTGGAGGATGGGTGAAGTTTGTTGTATGTCGCGAGCATCATTTCTGTTCCGTTCTTGGAGGAGGAAGCTCCAAGAAGTTGGAATGGTGGATATCATTTCGTCATTCAACCTGTCAGGTGGGTTTTACCATTCCGTAGTTGGAGTGTGATTGGGTTGTCAAGTTTCCTGCTGCTCGTCTTTGGGTTTTCTTATAATCTTTATACTGCATTTTTATTATTTACATATACAAATCTTTTTTTAATTATGTTTTTTGGTTATGATTTTCTAATAGTTTTTATCGCAAAAGCGTTAGTATTTAGTTTGGTTATTTTTAAGAGCTACTCACACTTGAGTAACTCTCATCAAAAATAGTGTCGTGGCTGTCACGAAGCGTGGATGTAGCACGGTGGGTGAGGCCGGCTATAGAGCCTGCTCAGGACGTCCTCTTCTGGTGGGTTAGGCCAGAAGTGAGGGTATGATTTTGTGCTCTCTTTTTGGGGGGTCCTGTGTTAGTTCAAGTTTTCATGCTATTTTTTATTACCAGTGTTTTCTTTTGTTGTCTTAGTTTGGTTTTTTCTTCAAAAATCAAATTGTTTGTTTTGGGTTTGTCTTCCGACTTTTTCGGTGTTTTGTTCTTTTATGTTCAGACTTAAAGATAGTCTTTAAAAGAATAATTTATCCGGTTTTAAGCTGGTGTGAATCCAGTCTGGGTACCGTGGGTTTTCTTTTCTTAGTCATGCTATTAGGTTGTGTCTTATGGTATTTAAAAAGCTTGCCTTGGTTAGCTTGCATGATTATATAATTTCTTTCCAACAAGGTTGAAGGAAAGTTTGAAACGTGTTAAGACTTGTTAGAGTTGTTATCAGTGAAAGTTGAAACTTGAATCCATTATTTTAAACAATTCTTTGTGGGCGAGCAACGCGAAATTGGATAGAATATTTGTGCGAGAAAATATAAAGAAGCGTCGCTTGAAAAGGTTAGTACTGCTTTTGTTATTTATGAAAAACTTTTATCAATTTACTACATTGGAAATTAGAAAGTTACTGCTTGATTTAGGGGTTAAAAATATTAATTTACTTTCATTTATATGAATATTTGCTGTTTGTGGGAGAAAGTATTTATATATTAATTTACTGCTTTGTACGGGATAATTTATTACTTCAATTATGGGATAGGTTAAGAAAAATTATTTATTTGAAAAAGAGTTTCTGTTTTTTATTTTGCTTTTTGTTTTGCAGATGATTGATGATTGTGCCTATAAAGAAAAAGAGAAAACATTGAATCTTAATTTTTAGTGTTTTTTGAATTTGTTAGTAAAATATTGAATTCATATTACCTAATTGTCGTTGAAGAAGCCATGAGGAAAAACATCGTGGTTTATATCAGAGGAGGTTAGTAGTTTATCGAACAAACGAATGGTGTTTTTAGTCTGCAAGAGTGGCCAAAGCAATCAAAGTGCTTTAATGATGTTACATTCTTCCGTGTTAGGTGATTGTTCATACGGTGTGTTTTGATTTAGGTTATGTATTTTTGTTGTTATAGCGAGTGTTATATATAAATTCTAGGATTGCGACTTCGACGGGCTGAAGGAATTCATGAGAGATGATCATTAGGCGGGATTCTACGTTTATTAGTTTGTTTAGTGGGCAGAAGATATACATCTGGGTGATGGGATCATAATTTTGGATGGTGGCTTGTTGGTTAGTGTCTTTAATGCAATAGGTGAAGTTAAAGAAAAAAGTGATGTGTATTTTGAGTTAATGTATTGAAATCTGTGGTGAAGTTGTCGTGCTGATGTAATGACTTTCAATGAATCTATAATAAGTGTACGGATGTGTTTGTGTAGTTCGTAACATGATTTTGTGTGAACAGTGCAGATCTCGTTCTTTTGGTGTGAGGAAATGAAAAGTTAGTGAAAAATGATTGAATTTGGTAAAGTATGATTCGTAAGCAGTTGTATGACGTAGTACTGCAGAGATGACTTTGTCATATTTTTTATCTGAGATGTTAAGTGTGAAGGTGTATGAGGTTTTTATGAAAAATTTCTTGGTTAATTGAGGGTTAGTTAGTATTTGGATCGCCAAGTAGACAAATGTCTTCATTGGGGCGGATGATATTACGATAGTAGTAATCGATAGAGTGGGTATTAGCTTCAGGTGCAGTGAATTTGTTTAGGGATTCTCTGAATCCTATTTTGCGTGAACTGGCTTGAGGTTACTGCTGTTGTGAGAAGGTAGAGTAGGGTGCTGGATATTTCATTATTATGAGGGGTGATATATAGTGGTAATGTTAATGGATTAGTAAAAAGGTAATGAGAGGTACATGAGAGTGTGGGTATAAGACATGCTCGTTTACGTAATTTGGTATTTCATCGTGGGGGTCGGAATGGAAGTATGTATATTGGGGGAAAAATAGAAATATTTGTAGAAATTCTTTGGTATTAGTGTGAAGTGGATGATTGATAAATGTGGTGGATGATCCTGGGTTAGATGGGAATGGGGTTTTTGGGAATTTTCGTTTAACGGTTCGGTAAGCGCGGTTGGTACTAGTGGATGGGGTTGATGGGGAAGTGGTATTTTGGCAGGGTGTATAAGCTGAAGAGGGGGTTAGAGTTGATGGATTGGTTGATGTTAAAGATCGTGAGACTTGGTGAATGGTTAGTGTGTGAGGGTGTTGTAATTGCTGTTGTAGTGTTATGAAGTTATCAAGTTCGTGTGATATTTGTGTGAGATCTTTGTCATTGTTATCGGATGATTCGCTAGTAAGAGGGGAATATGTGGGTGTGACATGTGAAATAGAGGAGGGAGGGGAAGGAATTTTTACTTGGAAATGTAGAGGTGTGTGTGTGTGTGTGTGTGTGTTGTGAGCGCCCTCTTCGATGATCAGGGGGGAGATTAGAGTCTCCCTATCCGCCGGAAGAAGTGGATAATTCTGTCGGGGTTGTCTTGGAAGGCCGATACCGACGGGTTGTCTTCAAGGGTTTCTTGTCTTTCTTCATTCCATTTCTGGCACCTGACTAGCATATATTCGGCACTCTCAGGCTCGTTTGCGTCGCAGTGTCGGCAAATATCCGATTTTTCCCGCCCGAAGCGGTGTGCGACTTGTTGGAGCCGGGGTGCTCTGTTCGGTCTCAGCTGGTGTAGCGTGATTTGTTCTTTACGGGTTCTGTTTTCGTCTTGTGCGAGTCTCTTGCCTTTTGTTGCTCTGGCGTGAAAGCTTTCTTGGTCCATGTTGTCATAGTAAAATTGGTCTTCGATATCGATGGTGTCATCTCTGATCTTGTGTCTCACGCATTGTCCTGGGCCAACTTTGTCTAGTCTTTTCCTGCTGACCGATCTCCGGTCGGGTGTGAAAGTAGTTTCTCCTCTCGATTTTAGGCGGGGTCTGGAGACAGGCGTGAGTAGGGCTTCAAGTGATGGCCTTCTGGCAGGCACTCGATCTTCGACAGCAAGTTGGCTCCTTCTGCTTCGGCGATGATGCGAATTGTCGGCAGAC